GGGCTTATTTGCCGTCATTTCCAACATCAGCACGGCGAGGAAGGATTGCGTTACACTTTACCTTGAATTATTCAGGTCTTGCATTTGTGGACTCTTTTGTTTGCTGGGACAGACAGTCAACACACAAAGTAGGACAGAGTTCTTTGTGCACTTGGCCTGCTTGTGTTGTTCAAAAGCACAATCTGTAGGAAACACATGGAAATGGGTTCATGGGATTTCTAAAAGCCAGGTATTGTATGGTAGGAAAAAGACATGGAGGTAGCCCCCCTCCTCCAGCGGTGCTCACACTTTCCAGGACGATGCTTGAGATGCTGGACGCACAAGCAGCCGCCTGTAACACTGACTTCAGGAACTGTGTGGAAACTTGGGAAAAAACCTGGCAGCGCGATGTTTGTCTGTTCTACGAGATGCTTTTTCTCTACACACCACTGCACCTCTTTGGATGATCAATTTATAAAAGCTGCCTGTCAGTCCCTGGATCTACCGGCGCTGTGGCGAGAAGACGAGAACAACGTTCATACCCTGATGCACCGTCTCTGTGAGGCGGCACTGTCAGGCCTCATTATGCAAGTCCTCAACACTTCAAGGAACATATTATATTGATGCATACAGCTGCACAGAGAGCACCTAGGGCGAGTATATTAAGTAGGGTGTAGCATCCGTCCCTGTGCAATTCAGATTCCAGACTGGAAGGGTGTAAACGGAAAAATATCATTGCATAGAGATGGATCATTTTACCACTCAACACAACAGACAAATCCAGCTGTAAGCACAGTGATGGGAGCCGGTTCTGAAATGACTGTCGGTGCACAGAACAGATGAATTCATTCACAACCTGCCTTCAGTGACACAAAGCAGAACAGTTTTCCTGTCTTCGCTCACCGAGCTGCTGCGATTTGATTTTCTTTGAATCGTTTGATTTTTGTTGATCCAAATGTAAATCTGTGGCTGCAATTTGCAGTTTATCGCACAGACATCTCTAACAGTATTCAAATGAGCTGCGGTAACAGTTTACCTCAGCTGCAAGGGACACAGGTAGTAAAATGTGCTCACCATGATCCTGCATGATAAGCAGCAGGTTGTTGTGCCTGTATGAAGGCTCTGTCACAGACCTGGCATCCTGAGGCTGCAGGACCTGGTGGCGATCGGCCTGGTTGTTAGACTGCTTTGCTGTGAAACACTGTGAGGACGGGAGGGCAGCCATGAGCTAGTGTAGCTTCAGTGCACAGTTACTTCAACTTGTTTGTCTTTCCAGTGGGAAGTGCATGTAATTTGCTGTAATACTTTGCTTAAAGCTTTGTGTCGTACGTATTCACTCTCCTTCATTACTGTAATGCCTTCAGCATACAGCCTCTGGGCCGGACATCTGTGGCTGTTTTGACCGCCTTGGTCTATATAGTGTTTCACAAGGTGGCCGTGCTGCTTCAGCAACGCTCAGGGTATGAAAATTTAAATTCGTCTCTCGCTGGGTTCCCCCAAACAGCTGCTCACTATCTGCATGTGTGTGTGTCGGGGATCCAGTGTCAGTTACAGTTACAGAGCCAGGCCCATTTGGCCGTGCAGCTATTCCCACAGGATCTCTAAAACATGGTCAGATTAATAAGTAAGTAGATGAGTGCTTCTTGAGGTTAGTAGGACAAATACATGACTTTTGTGTCAAGTGTACACGTTCCACTCCATTTGCAGGCTGTAACACGCAGCGAGGCAGCAGCCGGCTGTAGAACCTGCTCGTTCTGTGGCGCTGTGCACATTTCATTATTGTCACGATAAAAAAACATGACACATCATAAAACCCACATCCCTGCAGCCACGCAGCTGTGTCCTTATCTCAGAGCGGCACACTTCATTAGGACAGGAGCAGATGTGATGCGTGGGAGAAGCCTACCTTATTCCCCACACTGCCACAGTGAGGCAGGGATCAATAGGTGGCTTGTCTCCCAGAGCTCTCTGTGTCCAGACAGCAACTCATAAAACTCTTTGGAGCCCCACCCTCCCCAGCAAGGCTGGTTTCCTGCCAGTCTTGTGACACAGCACCCAGCCATGGCCCTGGGCTGTTTGTGTCAGGGTGGAGGGCCCTGGAGCCGAGGCATCTACCTGGGTGCCAGCAGCTGCTCCGCTGTGGACAGTAGGCCTCTGCTGAATGCGTTGGGATTACGTTGAGATAACTCACACAGTTGTTATACAATAGAAGTGACTGCAGCGTAGGGCGGAACATTATATGAGGGAAGATGTGGCCGTATGGGGCCAGCCTAGCAGCCATAATCCAATAGAGCAGGAGCTGCCACTCCCATAAGAGGAGCTATGGTAATGAGAGCCGGCTGTATCGGTTACTTTCTGCACTTCACCTTTTCCTCCCGACGTACAGCGTGATGATTGTGCTTGGCACCTCACTGAAAGCTCCCACGTTAATCTGCTCTGAGAGATACAGCTGTTGGAATAACACACCTGCCTTATTAAAAAACACATTTAAAGTAGAACTCTGATGGATCACATGAGCCTGAGTTCTCGTCCACAGCTGCTGTGTCCGTCACATCCCTGCTGGTGAGCGCCGCTGCTTTGCTCACTGCTGCTGGTTGTAGTGTTTATGTCAAGGCCCAGATCAGAATCCGGCCCGGTCCATTTGCCTGGATGGGAGTTCTGATCTGGGTTTTGGGCTGGCCCAGGTCATAACTCCCATCCAGGCAAATGGATCGGGCCGGGTTCTGATCTGGGCCTTGACATATATTATCACAAATATAATGAGTCCTGTTTCAGTTCATGTTAGTTTTTTGATCGTTGCAGCTGCCGTAGACATCACCTTAAAGTCAAGGTGCGCCCGGGCACCTCGGAGACGATCAGATGTTTGATGATGTCATTGTTTCTGGTTGGTCGTGCTGTCCCCACCTGTTCTGGTAGCGATGCTGCTTTTGCTTTTAGTTCAGCTTGTTGTTGGTAGATAATGTCTCTACAGCACTGGAATCATGACATTAGTGCTATTAATCAATACAATCATGATTTCAGCTTCCCACAGTTACACTACACTGATGTTTAAAATGCTTTGCTCAGAGGAATCATGCAGATCAGATCTCTCTTTCTAAACTCACTTTTGGTCACTTCAGAGTCACTGAGTTCAGACTAGAGGCCGTTCTTAGCTTCTGCCTACCGTAGCCTGCAGTGTGAGCTGTTCAGCTGACGTCGCTAAGTCGAAGATATGAGGCACAGTTTTATAGATATGTTGTCTGCAGAAGAAGTTTTTCTAGGTGTTGTTTTGAAGCTGAGGTTTGTGCATTAGCAGACATGTAGCACAGCCAGAGCAGCACTCTGTCTGCTTTTAAATGTGCAGGTGCAGCAAAAATATTGTGTCTCTATGTGAACAACTGAGAAGTAACTGTGATCCCAGTGTTGATTAGAAATAACTGTGACGGTCCAAGTGGCCGAAACCTTGCAGCCATACTTCATATCATCATTTTTATCTCATGAAAGGATGCTGATATTATCCTGAACAATCTGATATGTTCTATGTTTCCTATAGCCGGCACAGTGACTGAATCCAACCTGACATGGAGCAGGTTTGTAATAAACTCCAGATAACTGCTTCTTATTTATGCTGTCACCCTTCATACCTACACCTGGCAGCATGTTTTAATCTTTCCTGGTGTGCACTAGAACACCTTGTATGTGAAAACCAATCAGTCCTTTCTGATTCTGAAAACATCTGGATGAGAGCTGAGGCTTCAGAGGATGGTTAAAACCTGATGATAAAACATCACAGTGGCTGGAAGAGTTGATGAATTCACAAGCTTGACAGAAATCCAGCCAG